TATATTTAGAAACTAGCAAATCCAAAAAATGGTTGGCCCCCCCTTATGCTCGATGTAATTTTCGTTGGAAATTTTCCACAGCCCCCCTAAATCATAGTACGGAAAAAGAGTGACCCCACCCCTCAAAATCATCATAGCCCACCCTCTAGGTAAATTATGAATGCTCCCTTAGCAAATCGTATACCGACACGTGAGGTGTCATGAAACGCTGCGTTTCAGAGAGTGTCCGTGTCCCCGATACCTCTGTCGTGAAAAATCAGGACAAATCGTGGCCCGGACACGTCTTCTGCGGTGTGTCAAGAAATATACGAGCTCTGATTCTTAACGATATCAGTTAGCCAAAGCTATGTCGACTTTCGACAGTGAGGTAAAATGGCATGAAAACTGAAATTTAGGAAAAATTTAACTTTACCTAATAAAAACACAACTAACTCATTTACGCAAACTTTCCAAGGTACGCCGAGGTTGTTAAAGATTTACGCACTTGGCTTAAAGGTTGAATGAAGGTAACATAAGGTTGCAACAATTTTACGCTCATTCTCTTACGCGAGATATGAAAGTTGAGTAACTGTAAGGTTGCCACGTGCACTCTGGTAGCAGGATCTGTTTTCTTTGTTGTTTTTAGCATGACCGAGTAGTTTTCACGTCGCTAACGATGAGAATCGTTGGCTTGTTGTTTTTGGAGATCTTATAATTCTGTTCGGGTGACTGGAAGGCATTGTTAACATAAATGGCCCGTCACTTACTCTTGAAAAATAATACAGTGTCTTTGTCACAACGAGTTAAACGAAAACAAATTCAAAACAGAGAGAACATGCGTGATAACTATTTCCTCACTTACGATGAACGACAGACGGCATTCTCGAAAAACTATGGCTACTTAATTTCAACGGAGTATTGACTAACTTTCTACAAATACTACATTGTTTTTTTACTGCCTTTATCGCTTCCGGGTATCGCCTCTGCCAGGAGAAGAAAAAAGAAGAAGACCTGGGGGTTATACGTTCGAATGGGGCCTGGAAATGAAACAATAAGGCAAAGCAACTGGTCAGCGGGTATTCGCTTTGCACATGCTCTTTCAGGTTCCGATTTGGCGTCCATTTTGAAAGTGTGAAATCGATCGTTTCGATCACGCCAACTTGTTTGATTTCCCTCAGAAGTTTGAGTCCATAATTATGCTTCTCGATAGCATCACAGGACATCTGAGGATTGTAACACATTATCATCGAACGTTCAACCTTCAGTTGTCGATAGATCTTAAGAGGCAACCCTTTCGATACAGGAGACTCAGTCAAGCAGACTGAGAATTTGAACACCGAAGTATACTAAGGACTGTACTACCAAAGCGCTCCAAGACTCAGGATTTTGCTGGAAAATTAGATAGCAAGAAAAGGTAAGCTGCCCTGTTTTCAAACTATTTAAATCATTTTAAGTTTTCAATGAAATCAATGTTTTATAAAGGAGCTGTGGAACGAAATTTATCAAAATTTAAACAGATGAAACCGCCACCATATTGACTGAAACATAAAAATCACTACTCACAACAGTTGAAGAAGGTATAAACAAGACAGCAAACGCAAAAGGAGGCTCAGATAGACAAACTTGAAGAAGATTAAAGTGGATTACAATTGCTGGTTTGCACTTGACGTCACAGCAGCCATATTGGTGGTGTGTTAGGGTAAAGAACAAAAGCATTTCTCTCCTCCGGGAACTAAACCCTATTTTTATGTAAATTCTTCAAAAAAAAAAACGTTCTATTGTAATGACCTCCAACACACCACCAATATGACCGCCTTGTCACGTGGTTCCAAGCCAAGAATAGAGGTTTTTGAAAAGTTGTTGGCCTAAAGTTCATTCTTTTTGCCTGTAACTTTGATGAAAATGTAATGCTTCGGGACAAATTTGTTTACATGAAACAGTGATGTTGTTATTTTCAAGTAATATTTCTTCACTTACATTAGGTTCTACTGAGGATCGCATAACTGATTAAAATCTCGCATTCTGATTGGTTAACGAAGCGAGGTATTTAGTGTGGAATTGCGAGTTGAAAACGAGGCTAAGCAATATTGTTTCGCATCTACATGTAGGTAGCAACTATCGTCAAATTCTAACACAAGACAACTGCAAAAAAGGTTTTCTACAATGTCATTTTAAACTGTTTTCAAAACCATTGTCACCTTTTGAAGAGTTCAAAACAGAACAAAAGCGTTTTTATAGTGAGCCGGAGGTTCCTCCTTGTTTTGAACTGAACTGCAAATTCTCAAAGAGGCATAAAAAACCTCTTTCGCTCGCGACAACGAGATAAGAAGAAAATCTTGTGAACACGGCCCAGAAAATGGCAAGCCAAACAAAACGGAGAAGCGACAACAGAGGAATTGCTGGGGTCGATTGTCACATAAATTATACAGGAGAAGAAATAAATACCTTCAAAGACGACATGGCCCCTCAGTGAAAACACGAAAAAGAGTACGCCGCTTGCAATCGTCCTGAATCGTGATACTTAGAAAAGTACAAAACAGACCTGAACTTGAACAGCATTTCTAAAACATTTCAAGGTACTTACCATATATCAATCGCGACGTTAAACTTTAAGTGCTTTTGCTTGGGCACTTCATTTCTTTCAGTTTGGCCGCCGATGAGGTAAAAGGTGTATATTATTTTCCTTCTCAAGCAAATGACCAATTTGAAAAAAGATGTTATAGATAAACGGCTTGTAAATTCAGTGAAATACCTCTATTTATCCTTAAGATTAGTGTGAAGCTTGTTTACATGTAAAAGAGTTTGAAAACAAATGTGAAAACAAGCACAAGGTACAAAAAAAGTTGTCGAAGGGTCAAACGTGTATGACTGACCTTGCTTCCTATTCGCTAACGCAAAGACAGTTCTGACAGTTGACTTTGAAATGGCTTCCGGGAGCGCGCGCTCAGGATAAAAACAAACAATATTATTGCTGTTTTCTTTTTTTTTCTGATTTTTATTCAGTTATGCGATTCAAGGAAAATCCATTACCTGAAGAGGGAATTCCACGTTAAATTGCACTTGAAAACCGATATCACACTCATCGCTGCGCGATTCGTGCAATATAACATAACATAACATAAAACTTTATTTAAACTCGAATTTTAGGGTAGCTAACAAGCTAATATCTTCGAGCTGACACTACATAAAAACTATATAGAAAATATATATATACATTAAATGCAAGGAAAGAAAATATCATTTACAATTCACAATTTTAAGTTTAAGTATGATTATTAATCTTTTGCATACATTTGATATATGTTTAGAAAAATTCAGATTATTATCTATTTCCATTCCAAAAATCTCTAACGTGTCCTTTACTGGGAAGGAAAAACCATACTCCGTATCACCGAGGATTAGACACTGGTGCTTGCTCTCATTAACTAACATCCCATTTTCATGGTACCACTGATTGGCCACGCCAACATCATGAGATACGCATGCATCCAGAGCTGCCGGATCGACGGGGAGTAGTATACCTGATGATCATCCGCATAAGCGTTCAACTTGGCCTTCTTGGACGTGGAAGAAAAGATCGTTTATGAAAATGTTGAATAGCATGGGACCTTATTATCCAGGTAAAAGGTGTTCCATTAACTCTCTGAGTTCTGCTAAAGATAGTTCCTCACAACTTTTGTTGTCCATACCATAGGCCCTCAGTTTCCTTTGAATAACATCAAACGCTTTGGAGAGATCCATAGAAAACCGCAACAAGCTCCCCTGTCACGCATCATTCTCCAGTCCTCGGTCAACCTTAGCAAAGAGGTCTCGAACTATAAAACTTTCTATAAGCGATTCTGATAAGACCCCATTGTAAAATTCATACATCTGCCCCGTGAAGCCTTTCAAAAATATTGTTTAGAGCAGGGAGCACAGTTACGGGCCTATAGTGTTGATCTTAACAGAGGAGTAACCATGCCCATCTTCCAGCTAGCCAGCAATTTCAATGCAACAGTTTATTATACTTGTTATAGGCACCACAGCTGAATCAACTTTGGTGGGATCATATCGTGACCAGGTGACTTCACGTGACAATCTCTTTTATAATAGCTCAACCTGGGTTTCACTTGCGATGAAAACTGAAGCAAGCTGGAGCACTAGAGCCCAGATTGCTTTGATGCTGGGATGATTTGCATAATCCTCACCGGATTTCAGGCATGCTGTCAGCAATGTGAACAAAGTAGTCATTAAACAGATTGGCAATCTCCTTTTGTCACTAATAATCCTGTCATTTTCTTTCAAGATAATGTCATTGGCTTGCTTACTTTTAGTATGCAAAAAGGGCGGAAAGTAGACCAGAATTCGCTGGTGTTCGGTGTCTGCTGTTTTCCTCATGGCGTTGTTTTATTGCTTTTAAGCCTAAGAGAGGTGCAGGTATTACGTTGAGTTTTGTATGCCTCGTAATTTGCATCAGTACGATTGCGCGTGAATTTTTTCCACAGTTTGTTGCGATGCCTGATCGCCCTCCTCCATTGTTCCGTCATATAAGGCACCTGATTACCACGTATCATTGTTTGCTTGATAGGTGCGTGTTCATTGAGAACACTTAGAAACAATTGCTCAAAAGCATAAAGCTTATCATCAAGTTCATCAAACAAATCAATTATGAAAGGCTTTGCATATCATGCACAAAGTTCTCTCGACTGAAGTTTTCAGACTATCTTGTCGAGTCCTTGGTGCTGATGATCGCAGGATAGTATAAACTAACGAATGATCACTAAAGACCTTTTTCTTGTCATTCGTCAGGATTATGTTTCAGTTGTTTTTGTTGTGCGAGTTGGTTCCGTAATCAAACAATCAAGATTAAAAATATCTAGCAGGCCAAGAAGGTCCGCGTTTATAGAAAACCGTGAGGACTTGTAATGAATTTTCCTATAGAATGAGGACTTGTAATATTGGCATTATGTACAACTAAAACTTTGCTTGTCCAACCAAGATGGTGTCTTAGTGGGACATATGTCCTTTTAAGAGAAAAAAAAATGTTCACAGCTCTGTACAGTGTTTTCAAGAAAATTAGGACAAAGACAGTATACACAGTTTCTTCTTAGAAATCATACATTACAAGTTCAACCTACAGATTAGTTAGTTATCTGCTGGCAGATAGACCTTTGTATGAAATTGTCCACCCGAACCTCATCCTCATTTCTTTGTGTTTGCTCAATAGAGCATAATGTGGGGAAGGTCTATTGCCGACTAATGTGTAGGTTGTGTGCACGGAGGGAGGTGGGGTGGGAAGTTACTTCCCATACATTCTCTTAAATGAAATAGAAATGATGTTCTGACAACTTGCAAAGCAGTCATCAAGGGTCTTGCCAGCAGTTTTGTGTACTGATGTTGCGCATTGCATCATAAACCAAAGGTACAATGTAAACGGTTTTGAGAAGGAACAAAATCATGGTGGTTGAAGGCGGGATTGTTTCTCACTATTGCATTTCGTTTATTTTGGTAAATTGCAACTTTACTGATTTTATGTCGCTTTTCAGACGTATTGTATGTTGTGGTCTTTCTTTTTTCTCTTGGTAGAGTTTGGAATATGCAACATATAGCCTGTGAACAGGCTTTCTGTTTGGGGGAAGGGCAAAAAAGTTGGGAGGAGAGGGAAGGGAAAGGGGGAGAGCCTTAAGACAAACCTTTGAGGCGGCTATTCCACCCTCTTGTCTATTAATTGCTGATCCTCTGTCAGCAAGATTGTCAATTAATGTAGTCAGTTTTGCAAGTAAAAAGGGGGCGGGAGGCAACACTTGACTTTTACCTGCTTGTTCCAATGAGTTCTTTCTCCGGTGGTAGATTATGTGCTGGAGCGTAAGCTTTGACTGAGGAAAATTGTGGTTTTCCCTCCCATTTAAAAGTGAGAGGTCATGACATGTATACTGATTGTCTGAGGTTATTGTTGTCATTGTTTCTGGTCAGTGTGATTTGCCCTCTGATGCAACAACATTTTATTTTAGCTCTTTTGAAATGTATTTTTGTGGCTAAATAAGCTTATCAGTGATGTGCCAGAAGATGCCATGTTAAAGATCAAAAGACCTGTCAGTGTTCTCGCCAATAGGAGCTTGCATCAGAATCTGATGCACAGTGGGTGCCGCAAAATAGCAGCCTCAAAGGTTTCTCTACTGGCTCTTCCCCTTCCCCTCTCATGATTTTTTTAACTTTCCCCAAACAGAGAGCCTGTACTGTGCACAGGCTATGCAACATAATGCATGTATTACAGCAACATATAGCTGAAACAATCGCCGAAGAGTTAAGATATTGAGAAGTGTTTTGCTGCAAACCTAAGGAAAGTTAAGGCTGCTTTAATGTAAAGAGCTTTCATTAATGGATGTAATTTGTTTATTGGGCTCATTTGAATTTTGACTTTCAATTAAGGTGTTTACTGATTCCAATAAACGAAGTGAAATAGAGTACTAAAGTGTGACGTCATAAAAATGACATTTGTAAAATTATGGGATTTGTCAGGATATTCTGAAAGAACAATGTCCAAGAGGCCTACTTGCCAAAAATGAGGATTTCGGGGCAAATTGTCTCTGAGATCGTAGCCCAGTTATGTTTAGAAAAGTCCATACAAACCCTTCTAAATTTTTTTGCGTCGACCCAAAAAAACATTAAAAGGGTTTGTAGGGAGTTTTCCGAGTATAACCGGCTAGCATCTCAGAGACAATTTGCCCCGAAATGCTCATTTTTGGCAAGTAGGCCTTTATAGTTGATGCACCTCATTCTTATAATTTTGGATCTGTAAATCACTATCTGTGATAATTTAATATCCTGCAAAGAAAACTACTAAATGAGTTAGGCCCAGAATGATACAACATTGCAGAAAACATTATATTAAAGGACTAGAGAAAATCGCTTAAAATATTCAAATCCAGAAGGCACTTTAGAGAAAATTAGAACCCTTATTCAGCTGTAATAAAAAGCTTTATGCTTTAAAAGAGGTCAAAGAAAATGCTCTTGCATCAGAGGACAAATCCTGCCGACCACAAACAAAAACTACAGTAAATCAATATGTGTTCCATGACCTCTCAGTGTGAAACAAGTGGCAAAAATCACATTTGTTCAGTGAAATTGTAGAACCTTCCAGAGCATAATCTACCCAGCAGGGGAAAAAAACTTATTGGAACGAGCAACATTTTGGTAGGAGGTAAAAGTCATTTTAATAGGCCTACCAACCAACCCCTTTTATTGCTGTGCGCTCGATAAACATGCTATGGCGGATCCCATGCCAGCCACAATAGAATCAGGTAAATCCCACTATTTACAGTAGTGCGATTTGAATACCCCACTCGATGCATGAATCTGCCATAATCACCCAGCATGCAAAGAAAGTAGTGTCCGATAGCCTGGGGCTAGTGGATTTTGCTCTCAGACTAGTGAGTTCTGTTATTAACTTGCCCGATGGGCAAGTGAAGTTTTTTGAGGAATTCAAATTACAGAAGTACTGTCAAATCAATCTGCTCATCAAAACATTTTTGGGGCTAGTTGAAAATGATGTTTGGGCTAGTAAATGTTAGCTTCAGCTGTAAAAATGACTTTCTTTGCACCCTGTCACCATACTGATAGGAATCTAAGCGAGTGCAAACTCTGCCGCCATGTTTGTGCAATATGCACGAAGCACGATGGACTAAAGAGCCACCCACCCGACAAAGGCTTCTATTGTCTTGACCCAGGGAGGCTCCCTAGTCTTGATCAATGATCCCTGAAGCGTGAACGAAAATTCACAAGTCGTGTTGAAAATACACATGGTTGAGTTTGACATATGACTCGGTAAGTGGCAAAATGCCCTGAGTATTGGTTTAGGCATTCAAGCTTATAAAAAGTAGCAATATTGGAAAATTTGTCTGGTGTATAGTTTTATTCATAGCGCCGAGTTGAAAATTGCATGGTTCTACTATGTAATTTGATGAAGCGAGTTGAAAATACACAGCGAGCAAGGTCAAATAGAAGAGTTGAGTTTAAAAGCTAAGGGACGCGAGCATAAAAACGTTTTCTTCTAAAGGAAGAGTGTAAAATTTTGAATTCAGCTATAAAATTTAAGTACCGAGGTTAGAGATTTAAATGATGCATTTAAAATTGAAACCATTAATTTTGGCAGGGATTGTACGCCATAAGCCTGACTTTGTTTCTACCCCCTGGTGTGCACCAAGTATGATTTCTAAGAGGAATGTCAAACTGTGTTCCATGCAATTCTGTGTTTGTCCTTGTTTTCTTGAAAACAATGCATAATGAAACAACTATTAGAATTGGTTTTTGGGTCTCAGTAAGTGTTATCAGCCTCAGCTTTCGGCTCAGCTGATGTCATTTAGTCAATCCTCTCCCTTGATTATTTCTGGATATCACAAAACCTCATCCCACACCATTTATTGTTTAATATTAACAAAGTGAACTAAGACTGTGGTGGCACAGCCCCTGTACATTAATTTGTAAATACTCAGTATCTTACATTTCAGTGGGTAATTAAGGCAGCAGTGACAGTTAAAAGTAATTAAGTGATGAGAACTTCATTGATTCCTGATTTTCCTTTCAGTACTAGGCAAACATCTTAGGAGCACTATGCAATATTGTGCAGGTTAGTGACACTGGGGTTGAGGGGTTTGTACCAGAAAATAGAAGAAAAGTCAATGTTACTGAGAATTTGTAATTACATATAACAACAAGTGCTCAAAAGAAAAATAGAATACCTTATTATTTATTTGATAAAGTGCTCAACCTCAAGTAACTGCCCACCTCCAATAACCCTCCACCTTATAGGCAGAAAAAAAGTGAATTATCTCCTAACCTCAAATAAGTGCCTACCCCATACCAGCTAGATTGAAAAAGAGTAAGTTCTGCGAAATTAAGAGACCAAGTTTTCTTAGTACAGTATTTTAAAGAAATTTTCAATGAACAGTTAAAAATCTGCTTTGGAACTCAAACAAAATTACTCTATCTCCAACAAAATTACTTTTGGTGAAAACTTTGCAAATCATTAAACACCCAGCCCAAATACACATATTAACCCATTCGCCCCTGAACCGCCCGTAACCGCCCGTGCGGATCCAGGTCCTTTCTACCCTTTGTGACGTCATCAGTTTTAACGGTCAAGGACAACTTTCTTCGCACACGTGTGCAGAGTGAAGAGATCTTTCAAACTGATCCAGATGCAAAATCCAAAACGCGTTTTTCGGCAAAATCTCCAGGAGCGAATGGGTTAAAGTGATCAATGTGAATAATAACCCACTCTCAAGGTGCAAAACTTTAGTGAGCACCCAGGCAAGGCACTTAATCAAATAAATATGGTATTTTGTTTTGGGACCTCTTTATTGGAGTGGTACATGCAGTCGCGTTTTCCAGTAGGTGTAGTGCTTGATTTATAAACACACAAGCTGTTTTATGAAAACTGCATTGACAAAATAGATTTGCAGTTATTGAGAATCTATTTTATACCAATACAGCATTACATTTCATTTCACCCTTCATTAATTCGGCTTTGAATTTTCAAAAACACTGTATCGCAGCTCCAGGTTTTGTCCAAATTACCTTTAGTCAAAATTTTTTGTGCATTTAAGATAGACAATATTATTTTGAACTACTGTGCAAATTAACCTTTTAAAAAAATAATGTATGAAATAGCTGTACGTATGATCTGAAGATAGTTTATCTACAGTGTATATGTAAACTGCTTTTAATAGAGCTTTTTACCAATACAGCAGCCATATTGAATTAATTCGATTTAAGGAGTATTATAGGATGCCCTGGGGGCATGAGCACATTTAGTTTGTATTTTGGAGTGCTTTTCAGGACATTTTTTCGTAAAGTTTTCTTAGAATAAGATTGTAATGGGAAAAAAGATTCTTGTGCCCTGTTTGGATGTAATAATGATCGCCTTTTTCTAGTTTAGCATTAGAAATATGGTCTTTCACCGTATATTTCTCGGGAAAAAGGTGATCATGATTACATCCAAACACGGCACAAGGATCTTTTTTCCCATAAGAATCTTATTCTAAGAAAACTTTAAGAAAAAAATGTCCCGAAAAGCGCTCCAAAATACAAGCGAAATGTGCTCATGCCCCCTGGGAATCCTATAATACTCTTTAAATTGAATTAATTCAATATGGCCACCGTATTGGTAAAAAGGTCTATTAGTACCCTTATTTTATTCGGCTGTTGATAATAATAATGTTATTGAGGACAATCACCTGTCTTTTCCCTTCAATTCCCAATTTATTTTTGTGCATGCTTCACAGCAGGTATGTCAATGCCAGAAATTTCAAACCCATTGAATTTATTGGGTGGCAACAAGCTACCTTAAACTTCAAGGACACTTTAGAGGATTCTTGCTGATCTCAGCAAGACTGTTCTTTGAAGTGCAGTGCCAACTCAATCCCAGAATTATTTATGTTTTTTCAGTTAAACCTCCAGGTCTTCAGAATAGCACCCAGTGCTCCAAAACAAAAGGGGCAACTTTTACACCTTCATCTTCCACAAGTAGTATCTTCATGCCAGATGAGGATACTAAGTCTTGTTGACCATACTTGTTCGATGTCCACCCTTTTGTCACAAGGACATGCAATATCAGTGATGAGGCAATTTTTGTTCTGTTGGTCCACACACACGATTTCAAGGCGATTGTGATCTAGTTTCATTTCTGTTTATGTACAGAAATCCGAAAGAAATTTGAAAGTCTTATTTTCCTTAACATCACATTATTATTATCATTATTATTGTTGTGGTTGATGATCTTATTATAAGCATGGGTATTAAAGAGGTTCATACACATGTACAAAAATAAACTACCTTAACCACTATTTTGGGCACTAAATTGTGGTTATTGCTCACTTTTTTCAATGACTGTGCTTTGCAGATTTTAGTAAAACAGATGAAGGTGCGAACAGATGGTTAAGGAGACCCTGCAGCAGCTAGATGCCAGCTCCTTGATTAATTCTTCCAAACCCCAGAGTTTAAGGAGATTTACCTACAAGCCAACCACCCTTTAGTTCATATGCATGGCCATTGTCGTTGATTAGCAGTGGAGCTAGTTGTCACACCAGTACATCCTCCTCCACTGCAGCCTCCCTCCCCACATTCTCCTTTACTGTAAGGAGTGGCAGTGATGATGGACATAGGATGGAGAATGGATGGATTACTCTCTAGTCGTTGCCATTGTTTGATTAAATTTAACATCTTCACTTTGAATTCTGTTTTAATTTTTGCAAAACTTTTTTTTAGAAAAAATTGAAATGTTTTGAAATCACTCATTCTGAATATTTCAATCAACCTTGCAACTGTACCTTGTATATTTCTTTGAATGAATTGTCAACATGTTCGAACACTTTTTAGAGTTAGATTTATCAACTGACACAACTTTGCACGTTTTCCTGTCAGAATTATCAAACTTTGTTCCTGTATTTGAACTTTAAAATAAATGATGTTACGCGATTTAGAACCTGTGTTTTTCCCTCTTGCGTTGGGCAATTAGTTAAAGTGAATAAGACTGGGGCGCTGATGAAAATGGTAGAATGGTCGGAACTGTTAAAAATCATTTTCAGTATAATACTGCAACCCCACAAATAAGTCCCTGAAATGCAATGAAGTGCAATGGTGACCAGGAAACATATCGTGAGGTATCAATGGAGTGAAAAGGCGGTATCAGTCTTTTCAATATCATGCATGGAAATTGAAAGTATCGTCGAATTTAGTACAATAAACGTGTTGCAATTTTCGCGTATCAGGGAGTTTTGCCACGATTTCAACATCGGTAATTTCATGAACCGTGGAATTCCAGTGGTGTTTGAGTCCCTGGTATTTCACGTACCATGGAATTTCGGGGAAGTGAAAACACTCGAAACTTCACGTATCGTGGAATTTCAGCGCATTCTACGGAATAGAATCTTCACGTGTCGTGAACGTTTGGAGTATAAATTAGGATAACACAATCCGTAGCGTGGAATTTTAGTGAAAATGAAAGGCAAAAATTGTAGCGTTCGTCAACGGCACTCCATGATTCTCGGCAAATCTAGAAAAATAAGGACGTTTACAGGTCTTGACACGCCGCGTTTCAATGACGTGTCCGGATATCGGATATTCCATGCCGCGGAAAAAGTTCGATTCAGGAAAAATACGGGTCCTGATACTCAATGTATACGCTGCGTGTCCGGAACCCAATACCTCTCCATACTTCCGTTTTTCTCAAGAATACGGGTTCGTATCGACTAATATCGGACCATGACACAACTCATTTCACACAGTGAGGGGGAAACCAAATTCCCATGCTAAGACATACCCTCCAAAAAAGAAAAAAATAATAATTAATATATAAACATATATGAAGACTATAAATTAGACTATAAATTATAAACCTAGATGCCTAATAATAATGCATAAACTTACATTAAAGACACTATGCCTAGTATTTTAAGGTAAATTATGAGCGAAGGTACTTAATCAGTGAAACTTTAAAAGACTGAAGGCTAGGGGATGACATTACTTCAGAAGGCAAAGAGTTCCAGTCATCAATATATCTATGAAAAAATGAATATTTAAATAATTTTTATGGGCAACTTTAGGCCATATTTTATACTCATGCTTACTTTTAGTTCGAGTTATTCCAATTATATAAAAGTAATGATGGCAATTGATATCACTGTAACCAAATATAATCTTATACATTTGAACCAGGCTAAGATATTTCCTTCTCAGTTCTAAAGAGTCCCATTTTAACTTTAGAAGTCTTCCAGGATATTCTTTGTCGGGGCCACATATTAGTCGGGACGCCTAATATGCCTTGGTGTGCTTCACGAGATAAGGGTTCCAGACTGGGCAGGCGTACTCGAGGATAGGTATCACTAGCGCCTTGAAAGCTGTCTTGATACCAGTCTTGTTTGAATAACCAAATGTCCTTTTAATCAAGCCCAACACCTTGTTAGCTTTAGCACAAATTAAGTTAATGTGATAATCCCATAATAAAGACGACTCCAGCCAAAGTCCCAAGTGTTTGTGGTGGTCCACTTCCGGTAGTAAGATGTTATTCAACGAATATTGACATCTTATTGGATCTTTCTTCCGTGTAATGTGTAGGACTTTACACTTCTCGTTCTTAAGAGTAACAAGCCAACTCTTGCACCATTCAGAGGCAGATGTCAAATCCTCTTGAGGTAGATCGCAATCCGATCTATTTTCTATGTGTCGATGAAGGACAGTATCGTCAGCAAACAAATCTGAGTTGCAGGTTACTGAGTAAGGAAGATCGTTGATGTATGCAAGGAACAGCAAAGGCCCAAGTATACTGCCTTGGGGCACACCAGGTGTAACACTTAACCAGTCAGATGCTTGACCCTCAATCACTACACGCTGTTTCCTTGACGTGAGAAAATCCCTTAACCAATTTAAAATCTGGCCTTTGATACCATAGCATTCCGATTTGTAGAGGAGATGGGCAAGCGAGACTTTATCGAAAGCCTTGGCAAAGTCCAAAAACACTGCATCAACTGATCCAAGTTTATCCAAGGCCTGAAACCACTCATGTACTAATCGCAGTAGCTGGGTAACACAAGATCTTGATGGTCTAACTCCATGATGATTGTCATTAAGCAGTTGGAAGAAAATCCATTCGCTGTCCCTAAAACTAATTAACTAACTATCTAACTATAACTATCTAACTCGCTGTCCCTAAAACTCATTCGGTATCGCTAAAATCCAATTTTTTTCGCTGTCGGTAAAATCCATTCGCTATCGCTAAAACTCATTCGCTGTTTCTAAAATCTATTCGCTGTCGCTAAATTTTAAAACTCTTTTGCTATCGCTAAAATCCATTTATTGTTGCGAAAATATATTCGCTGTCGCCACAGGCTGCCCAGACGTAGTATGTGTCAAATGAATATATTAATATTCACATGGACTCCCATGAACTAAAATAGTCCAAAAGTCAAAATATAACAAAACAAAGCTAAGATACCTTTAACTGAACGTATCCTTGTCTTTCCTGGCCGGTTAAAGTGGCTTTTTGTTGAGTTTTGCAATTGTCGGTACTATCTACTAAAGAAGAATTAAAGGCTGGCTAAAAAACAAACGGACCATCTCCACGCGCATTCACGCGAAGCGCTATAAATTCGAGAATAATCGACGAATCCGCTCCAAATTGCCATCGGATAATCTGCAGGTAACGTGTGCTCCTGCTTCTTGTTCGCTGGGTCCACAAAACCCATCGCAACTGCACAATAATCGCTTGCTCATCAGAAAACACTGGTGGCCTTTACGCTTTGATATGACCGCAAACTACCAAGTTTAATACGCGTCGTGAATATTCAAGCTTATCGACCGCGTCCGCGCAACAATGCAACACTTGCTATGGGAGGGAGGTACTATTGCTTCTTGGTCATTCAATCGGGAAAATAATATTGAAGCCCTTGTAATTTTCAAAAAGATCCAATTTGCCCTAGGATCAACGAACAGATACGAATTTTATAGCGGAGCTAAAACAAAATGAGCGGCAGTGGAAAAAGGGAACAAGAACATGTACCATATTTCCTCCATAAAAAGTGAAAACCAGGAAGTTCTCTGGACGTTTCACGTTGCAGTCATGCAACTCAAAGGCAAGGAAATGTACAAGAAAGTGTGCTGCAATTAGACCTATTGTTGTTTTTCACAGTTCTGGTCAAGGGCATCCAACGACTGTTTTCTGTAAAATGTCTGTTCGGAGAAGCAAATTTTGCCTAGAATTTTCTTTCACTTGGCTAAAAATTTCTAGATGACCATTCCACTCATGTACAATTTTCGAAGCTCATCTGATCTTGCTAATAAATTCTCTACGATTTTCTGAGGTTTAATTTTTCGCATTTCACTCCCCGGGTTAGGCTATTTTTCGTAGCGAGTAAAAAGGAATCCTAAAATTTTCGGATTCAAAAATGTGATGAAAGAAGGATCTGAAAAATTATCTCCCTCGTAATACGTTAAATTGCATCTAAAATTTTCGGGAAAATAATTCTGAATTCCTCGTAATTTCCAAAAGACTCAAGTTCCCCTAGAATGGCCGAACACTGAGATACAAATTTTATAGCGCCACTTAGAATGCATTTCTATAGAGCTAAAAGTACTTTATGAATAGCTAAAAAAGTGTTTTCAATCTATTTGAGGAAACAGTCGTTGGGTGCCCCCGTCTCGTTGTCGTTACACGATTTTATATTTAGTATGAGCAAACTATAAATATTATCAAGAGCTTCGCTTTTAGCCCTCCTGGCTAAATTTATGTAATAGCGCCGCTTAGAATGCATTTTTAGATCGAAAGTACTCTGGACAGCCTTAAGTGTGTTTTTAATGCATTTAGGGGGAAATCGTCGTTGGGTGCCCCCGACTTTTGAAAATAATAATAATAATAAAAGATATTGCGCACATAAATTTTACTTTACCATATCTTCAGCCGTATCTTCTATTCGGCTGCATAGCCGAGGCCAGATTTTGCCTTTTTCCTGGGGGAAAATCCTCTTCCTCCCTCACCGGTTTGGACAACATATTGTGGAGCAAGAAGTTGAGTCTGGAAAGAACTGTTTATTTAATTAATCTAAGCAAATAGGTCTTGTAGATTCAAGAACCTATGACAGCGGCTGGACGAACAATGTGACAGCAGCTGTGACAGCGAACCCCAGCGGAGGGACTCCGCATATGAAAGGGGTGGGGATGCTCATCGTCTCGCTTAGGGGTATAAATTTCGCATTTTGGTCTCACTTAGGGTGTTCTGGGCAAAACGCCATCATATTTAGCCGTGAAAGTCTCGTTTAGGGTTGCACGTCAAAAAATATAAAAATATGTGTATTGTCTGTGTTTTAACATGGTCTCTTTTAGGGGTCAAAAAAAGCTGGGGCTACTCCCAGATCGGTCTCTTTTAGGGGTTTAATTGAAAATTTCCGACGAGCATCCCCACCCCTTTCATATGCGGAGTCCTCTTTCCCCCCCGCCCCCGGGGCAGCGAACGTTAGAAGAATTCGAACTTGAAAACCAGGGGCCGCCCTATTGAAAACTTACGGACGGTCGCGCGATCGCCTTTTCCTTTCTGGCCAAAACTAACGCAGCTGACCCTCGCTCAGTGTCGATTGACCAAGAAACAATAGTACCATCCCTCATGATGCTTACACCACGTACCTACCATAGCTAGTGCTGCA